CCCCGTCTGGAGCTCCCTTCTCTGCTTAGCATCTGTGAGGTGAAAATGCTGTTGAAGTCCTCTGACACGCAGAGAAAATGATGCTTGGGGAGCTGGCTTGTCCAAGGTCATATCAGAGGTTTGTCAAGGACACTCCATACTGGAATATGGGACCCTCTTTCCCAGTGTGCACCTTCTTCCATGTAAATTTTTGAGTCCTTGTTTCCCAAGTTTACCTCCTAACCACCTCCCCTCCTGCTTTTCTTTCTCAGAAGCCGTGTGAATTGAGATCTCAGAGGGAATCACTCTTAGCCAGTCACCTTCCATCCCCCACAAGCTAATACAGTGCAGAGGACACTTGATCCAACATCATGGCTGCTGTACTCACCCAGGTGAAGATGGAGAAGAACGAGAACGTGATGGCTGCTCGGGCTGCATCCCCTCCCTCATTCATTGGGTTGTCCTCTTCTTTTGAAGCTTGCCACTGGTTGGTCAGAAAGCAGAAGCCAACGAACCAGAGAAATGCCCAAAAGGCTGGGATGGACCACCACCAGCATGCCGAAGGGGAAGGGGAGAGACATCAAGAAGGTACGTGTGAACAGAACATAAACACATCATGTTTCTTGGGAAACTTCAACCCTACGCGACCCACCAGTGTGTTGCAGACTGGGCCAAACTGACTGCACAGCCTGTCTAAGCCCAAGCGACCTGGCAGGCTTGCTGACGGCTAAATTGTCAAGGTGACAATAGGTGTCTGCACAAACTGCCTCAGGAAAGTTCATTTGCTTGTGTTTGAATTGATCACAGGACTTGCATTTGGCCTTGGGAGGCAGCCTGAAGGGCTTCCAGTACAGGAGTGATCACCTGGGCTTTCTGAAACAGCCAGTGCTTCACAACCCTGTCCTGCAAGGACAAGTGAACAGCAATCCCTTCCAAGGGAGCTGCAGCAGAGTGGGAAGCAGCTGGCCTGCAGTTGCACAGAGACCAGCTTTTGCTCAGGACAGCATAGGCTAAGGGACTCACACGGAGGAAAGGTACTGAAGGATCATTAACATGCTGCACCCCCAGGGAAAGGAGTGAAGGCAGGGGGGAGCCCCAGGGCCAGACTGGCAGCTGGTGGGAACTGGGATTCACCCTCTTTGCCAGGTGCAGACAGATACCTGGCAGCAAGGGAATGGGCATTCCTAAATGGCAGCAGAACAGGGCTCAGTCCTTCCCCTTCTCTTGTTAGCTGCACACAGGACTGGTAGGCAAGGGGCTGACCATGAACAAACTTGCAAGCCAGAAGTCCTAAACAAGTTCAGATGCTGCACCCAATCCCGCCCTCGCTCCACTCATGGCCCCGTTGACAAACTGTGGGGAGACCCTGACATGGAAAAGTTTGCCTGTATGGCCAGAGTAAGCCAGGAGAGCGACTCAGGGTCACAGCACGAGAGCAAAGTGCCTCTTCATGATGCTGCTGACTGGCATTACACATGCACATAGACATGCACCATCACTCTATCACTTCAACACACTACTGGGCATGGAAAGATCTGACTATAACTTAGAATAAGACTCAGGGCTGGATGAGGTCCTGCACAGCTATTCACACGGGGAGTGCCAGGTAACCTAGGAGGACAGGTTTAGTCAGCCTGCATGAAACTCTCAATGTTTTTTTATGTTAAAATATATAGGGTTCAAACACCTGGGGCTGGAAAAGAAGGAAGTACCATCTCCAGAGGCATCAACACTTGGCCTTAGCAAGCACAAGCATGCAGGGAGGCAAGACCTCCTGATGCTAAAGGGCTCCCTGAGCTACGCCCATGGAGAACAGCAGAAAGGCGTGAGCCAGACTGGCTCAGCAGAAAGGGAAAGAAAAGGAGAGAGACAAGGCCTGAGAGAATAAGGAACCCAAAGACCTCCCTGCTAACAGGGAGACCTTGCCTGCAAGGTGACAGAATCTCCCTCCCTCTCCCTTTGCTGGCAGAGGAGAGGGGCACTATGGCCAACTGGCCAGGAAACTCACCCGAGACTCCGATGTCCGAGAGCACTGCCTTCTTGCGGTCCTTGACGCTGCTGATCTGCGGGAAGTAGGCATCCAGAGCCAGGTAAAGAAGGCAGCTGAGGAAGGCGAGGACACCCACGGTAATGCCATAGTTGCAGGCATTGCGATTACGGTTGAAAATGCAGTGCTCCTGTGTCTCGTCCAGGCGGTTCACGTACCCTTCATTGACAATGGAGCCAAACACCACAATGGAGAACACCTGGCGGGGAGGGAGGCAGGAGACACGTCAGGGCAAGCCCCATCTCTCTGGACCAGCACAAAGGAGCAGGGCTCTGCAGGGGACGGACACCCTTTGGGGGCACTTCTCTGCTCTGCTGAGCTCCCAGCCTGCTGCCTTGCCTGGGCTGTAGCCACGGGGAATTTACTGGGGAGACGGTCTCATTTTACTTCTGAGGATTAACTTAAAATAGGACACTTCTAGATCGAGCCTTTTTTATCCATCTGATCTAAAGCAACGTAAAGCAGTCACAGTCTGGAGTAAGGGTGGCTTCCCACAGACACACAGGGAGGCGACATGGAGTGTAAACTGGGATATGGTTTTGGTGTGGGTGCCTGTGTACGAGGGCTCCAAGTAGTGGAAATCCTCCTGCGCTTATTCTCCCACCCATTCCTTTCCCTTCTAGGAATTCATTGTTTCTACCACACATTTGTTGACTAATCTTATCTATTCAGCTACTACACTCTTTTCACCATCCACCCTCCCACAATCCACAGACCTGCTGCTGGCTCTGCAGGTCCATTCTGCCAGGCTCCTGTTCTCCCCATACATCACACATCTCTCTCCACCAGTTTTCCATCAGTCCAGCGCAAGACACCACCTATCCTTCTGCCCACTCACCCGTACCTCGACACGCTCCAAGCCTCCCCACGGATTTCACAGGCCAAACATCCCCCCTCCAGGCCCACCAGGCAGGGCCACTATGAGTCCTCCCTACCCGTCACAGCCACTACATGTTATTTTAAATCAGGTAGAATTAAGGATGAGTCCAGGTAGAAATGCCATAATCCGCAGTTGCCAGTCTAATCTTCGATCACAGGCTTAGCCTTCGTCGCTTGCCACAAGGCTGTCCCTCTTTGACACAGCAGGTTCATCAAAGCAGAGAGCTATTTACAGCAGCCCCAGTCCTGCATCTCAAATAAACAGCTTCCCCTCACAGCCACAGGAAAAAGAGGGGAAGATTAAGGCAGCATGTACAGCTTTTTCTTTGCAGGGAGTCTTGAGAACCTCAGTAGGAACAGCCCATCTGCGGGCTGCCTGCGAGAGCCCCAGGCAGACGGGAAATGGGACCTCAAGCATGGGATGAACATACATATATGATGTGCACTAGGGCATTACCAGGGCACTCTGATAGCCTGGGAGTTGTCTGCATAACAGGAGCCTGGCACCCTCAGAACCACCACCCAACCCCCAAGGAGTAGCAGCACACAAGAAGATGAGGTGGCCAAGTCTCCTGCAGGGAGTGGGGGTAGGTCTGAGGTCAGAAAGACCCCAGTACCATTTAACCCAACCAAGCACCACATGAGGATACTGCAGACAACCCAGAAGGCAGAGAAGCAGCTTTGTGAGTGCAGGGAAAATGAACTGTTGATGAATGCCAATCCAATATACCATCTACCATCAGTGGGGTTGGATGCCTGAGATCCACAGCACAGACCTGTGGCAGCAAGAACCAGAGGAAAAACCTTACTCACGGTCCCCAACAGCCCTTGGGCAGATACTCAACGCTGACCAGGTTTCAGCTGCCAAACTGTTAACAAGTATCCACTGACACCAATACTAATTTTTCACCCCAAGGCTCATAAGTGGGTCACACTTGGATTGCTAAGGTTGGGTGTGTTTTTGACATGCTAGAGCAAACTAAAAAAGGTGGAAGCTGGTGCTCCTAAGCATGGGGACTGTATGGGTTCTCTGAAAGTTCACAAGAGCTTTTTAAGCTTAGAAGTAAAACAACGGATTTGTCCTCCTCCTCCTTCTTCTTGAAAATTGAGATTGATCATACTTTGCAGAAATTGCCCGTGAAAATTAAATAAAAATCTCTTCTGCCTGAAGCAAAGGTCTGGTCTTTAAAATTTCATCCTGAATGGTTTGGAAAGCAGCAAAATTGAAGACAATTACAGCCAGGCTCTTCCAGTGGGAAGTCTTGCACACCTTCACAACAGGCTGGGCTGACAGGTCTGCCTAGGACCATTGGCAGCAACACCACGTTCCTCTAACCTGAGGGGGAGCTGACAGACTCCCAAAGCGATGTCCCAATGTAAGGCTGTGACCAGCGCCGATGCTGCCATCTGAAGTACCAAACTCCATACATTAGGATTACAAAGTGAGTGCCCCGTTTTCCACAGCATTAGACAGAAAGTGTATCTTCTCTTTGGAAGATGAGTAACAGCCTTAAAAGTGGCACAGTCTGGTTGGTGTTCAGTTTTGGTTTAGGGCTCAAAACTGGTAAAATGTCACTTCCCTGAGTCAGGTCAGCCCTTGCAATGGGCGGTATTGCGAGTCTCTGCTTACTCGTTTGGGATGAATGAACTTTTGTAATGGCCTCTCCCCAGAGACACCTCTGTTTACTCTGAGCATATCCTGACACACATCTTCCCTCTGCTTTTATCTTTGCTGCTGGCCTGGAAGAGCTCTCATCTGCGAGAGAAAGAAGCAGAATAATTCCTTTTTGCATTTGCTCTCTCACACCTTTTTATGCTGGCATGTCGTAAAGACACGGATCAGAGTCACAAGACCAGAGACGCATCTCCTTCTCCCTAATTTTCAAGCAGAGGTGGCATTCCTAACTTGCTTTCTCCATCTTTAGTTAGCTAAGATGGCACAACTTCTCTCCTATGAAAAGAAACCTGTTTTGCAGCCTGGAGGTGCTCAAGGTATGATTTAGTGGCAAGCATCTGATTTAAGATGATCTTAGGAGTTTTCTGAGGAGATTCTAGTATTCTCACTCATGAGCAGAACAAGTCATTGCACATGCTTATCTTCTGTGTCCTGAAACAGCCACCACAAAGTACTCTGTCTCCTTAGGAAAGCTTTCTACAGACCGAGCACAGTATCTTAAGAGATGTTTCCTTCTCTCCATGTTTTCCTCACCACTGGTATCAGCTCTGGTCCATGCTCCACTCCCCAGCGCTGCAGAGAGGTCAAAGTCAGTGGCAGTGGAGAGGGCTTGCTCCCTTTGCCAGCCTGTCACCACTCTCACGGCACAGAAAGATGCTGTGAGGATCTGCTGTGCCGAGAAGCCTTGAGCTGGACTGGATAACACTGACTGGGCGAGAACAGGCAGGCTCAAACCAGAGGTTTCAGTCTGACAGGCAGAGCTGGACAGCAGGAAAAGAAGCAATTGCTGCTGCTGCTGCTGCTGACAGGCAGCATCGCCCGTGTTATCCCCATGATGTCTGCACCCAGAAACTGTTGCGACAGGTGCGCAGACAAACAATTTTCTAGAAAAAATTATAATTATGAGAGCCCAGATCTCGCAGCCATCAGGAGAAACTGTCACACACTTAATCCATGGCAGCTGCTTCTTGTTGGCAAGGGGGTGGGTGACGTAGCAAGTCATCTTAGAAGCAGCAAGTATTTTTTATTTCCTTGATTTCACAATCCGTGCCCGTGCAAAGATGATCCAGGCAGCAGGTGCAGTATAAATGTCTGCCTGGATTATTAACAAAGCACCAAGTTTGAGAGGATGAAGCATTTATATCCACATTCCCATCACATCTGCAGCACTCCTGAAGAAACGCCAGCTACCAGCGGCACTGGCAGAAGCCTCTTGCCCCTCTTGTTCCTGAACCACTGCTTGTTCCTTCTACCCCCGTTTGGCATAGCAAATCCTCGCTGTACAAGGCCTCACCTACAGCCATTAATAAAATGGTCCAAAATACACAGCCAGCTGCGAAGAGGAGGCCAGGAGAAGATGGTGGAAGTTTTCTCCTGACTGAGCACTGAGAAACAGAGAAGTGACTTGTCCAAAGGCTGACAGGAGGTGGGTGCAAAGCACTGCATCCCAACGCTCCCCAACGCTGCCCGTCCTTCTGCTCCGCAGAGGGAGGTCATTAGCAGCTTTCCTACGCTCAGCGACAAAACCAGCTGGCCACCCCCACCTTTGTGCACCTCAGCGGCCTCCTTTCTTCCACGAAGCTGCTTAAGTCAGTTAACAGGCCTTGAAGTAACTAGAATTTTAGGTTGAGAGGGTTTCCTTAAGCCTCCAACGTTCATTAGGCAGGTGTGCGGCCTGTCTGGAGGTGTGCATTTAATAAGCAGTAATACATTCGGCTCTGCTCCAGAAAAGGGACAGAAAACGGCACGTGGAGAAGATCTGACCAACTCAATGTTGCTGATGGGACCCAGCTTTTCTCAACTTCACCGCTCCTGAAACATTACATCCACACAGGTTGTTGCAATGATTTTCCTAGACTTCTGTTTTCATCAAAGAGCTCCGAGACACCAAGTGAAGCCCAGAGCCAGGCACTTTGCAAAGCTGACAGAGATGGAGCAACTTGCCAAAAGATGCAGCAGAATGAACATAACGCTAAGCACTGCAGGGAGGAGACAGGGAGAGGCTGAGAGTTTCCCTGTCCCAGTTTCTCAAGGGGCTCGTGACGGCCATTACAGGCATTTAAGGGCTCACTACACCAAGAAAAGTGCAGAACAGGCAAAAGGCTGCATTCCACCATAAAAGACCTTTTTATTTCTCTCTCACTGAACTGGGTAACCTGATTTTGCCAGAGGCAAAGGCGGGAGATGAGCCCTCAGAGGAGAGGCTCTCCAGTCCCTCCCCACCTCCCCGCTGCAGGCTCAGCCCCGCAGAAAGCCAGGCGAAACCTCCTGAGCATCATGTGAGGCTTTCCAGCACGCTGCCCATCCCCAGCCATGCATCAGAAGCTCCTGAGCATCATGTGATGGATGCACAGTACGGCCAGCCTCTGGCGGTGCACTAGGATTTTCCTGCACCTCATCCCAGGACTTTGTCACGCTGCCTCCTGACTTTATCCCCAAGATCTCCACAACGGTCATAGTGGGGATGAGGCTGAAGAGGGTTTCTGTCCAGCTGCCTGCCTGGGCTCATTGCGGTGCCCTCTGGTCACAGGCTCTGTCACACTGTGTGTTGCCTCTCCCTCTACCAAACCCCCTTTTTATTCTATTTTAGAGAGGAAATAGTTTGGTGACATAATATTCCTCATGGGACTTCAAATCAAATCTAC